TCCCGCGGCCGCGCCAGGCCAGGTGTGCGCTAGAAGGGGTCTGCGGCGGGGAAGGTTCTGTCCGGGTCCCTGCACCGCTCTCGGAAGGTCTTAGGTTGGCGGGCATCTCCACGTCTCGGAGCCAAAACGTGAGAAGCACACGGCTGATTTCTTAATTATATTCATGTCAAGGTGACTTTTTTTGTTCTGTATTTTAAGGGAACTTGAGCCATAGAGACCTGTTAACTTGCTCTCCAAATAGATGTTTCACAGACAGCTGACGGTGTGGTAGTGACCATGAAGTTCAGTAGTTTTGCCCAGTACAGAAATATTTAACACTCCATGAAATGTTGCATCCGAACTTTTCCTTAAACTGAAACTTAAGCCAAAAAATTGCTAGATGAGAAAATGTGTACTTATGAATGCTACATTCAGTGACCAGTTTTAAACGTATTGTTACAGTGTTACAGTTCCTATAAGATCTAGGTTTTTATTCTCATTTAAAAAATTTTTTTTAACTTGCGTTAGTATTCATATTGCAGTGGCAAATTAGTTTTAAATGAAAAAAGATTTTGAGATGGATGTCTTCTTGAATATAGAGTGAACACAACCTTTTAATTCCTCAAGCTTTAAACAGCAGCTGAACTATAACTCCATTAAATTTCTTCCAACTAAAAAATTATTTCTGTTTTCCAAAAGGGACTGTGTTAGCCGTTATTTCCTGCAGTTCATGCAAATAACTTTAAGTTGTGAGGCTGATTACATCATTGATTGTACTTGAGTATGGAAATTTTAACAGTACTTAAGGGACATAAAGTTGATCAGATGAGATTTTAATTGATTTGCTGATTCCCAGAACTGGACGTAGGTTCGATTTTGAAGCAGTCTATATGAAAATTACAGACTGTCATGTTTGGTCTTTTTCAATTAACCACTTAAAAATTCTCAACCGTACTTTATTTGGTTTAGTTCTCAGTTAAACATTTGCTTTCAAGAGTATTTACTTTCTGAATTGGCAGGATCTAAGTAAGTCAAAATATCAAATCTCTCAACTGTCTGTTTACTTACTTAGACTTGAATATTAAAAGCACTCTTGTAAATAGAAATAGATGTTGCCAGGCTTCACTATACTTTCTTTAAAATATTTCTCAGTTGCAGGAAAGTCACCATTTTAAAAGCCCTTTTTTCTTGTTTGCATGGAGAGGAAATGAAGTTGCTTGAAGCCTATTGATGAGCACAGATCTTGAGCTTGCAGTATCACTTCACACTTCTTCCCTGGCTTTTTCTGGGACTGGATACCTGGACTTCCATGGACTTCATTATACCACGTATCCATTCTTCATCAACATGCTTCACCATGTTTAAGGCTGGATTTTTTTAAACCCATAGTCGCAGGAAGTCATTATCAGGGAGATGCCTCCAGGTTTAGCTGTTGGGGTAGTCCTTGTTCTTTCCCCAGGTCCATTGATTTTGTGTGAGAAGATGTCAGTGGCCACTCCTGCTTTACCAAGTCACACTAGCCTTGGCGATCAGGATTTAGGTAAGAATTCCAAATTCCAGGAGTGTTTCAGCTGGAGCCACTGGCCAGTGTTCTCTCTGAGCCTCCACATGAGCCCTGCCTTCTTTTCCCCTGGTGTCCCTGCTCTGCTAAGTCACATAGTTCCTGCCACTGCTAGCACCCAGCCTGTAGCTCTGATAACCACATTTGTTAGAAGTTTCTCCACTAGAGACTGAATTATTTTAGTCCTTCTTCAGTGCCCAGGCTGCTAAGTCTAGTACTGCCCTCTTTCCCTCCTCTGTAATCCTTCCTTCCCCTCCTTTTAAGAATTTTAAAAAACGATTCTGTAGGAGCTGGCCTGGGTCAGAGGGCCTTTGAGTGGCAGCACCTAGAGTCATTTGGATAGCATTTCTCCCAGAATCAAACTAGTCCTTCAAGGCTAGATGCTCGGACTTAAGGTATTGTCGATTTTTTATTTTCTTGTGTGCCTCTGAGAGTCTAGCACACCTGCTCTTGAATTCTAGATCCCCCTGCAAGTTAAGGCAGCCTTTGGCTTTTCTTTTTGAAAGTCATAATTTTAGTGTCTTGGTGGCTGAACCGTCAGTTCCAAAGTCCCCCTTATTTCTCACAAGGAATTTAGGGCTCCTACAGGTAAGACATTTGTTGATCAGTCCCAACAGCCTGGAATTCCCTGAATGAATGTACATATTAGGTACTTATCCAAACTCTTTCCATCTGAATAAAATAAATCAAAATGTGGTGTCTGAGGTTCAGTTTTTGTTTTATATCTCTCCTTGTTGATTTATATGTTTAGAAACTAGATATGTATATTTGTTTGTATGAACAGCTATATGTGCTATATATTGTATTATACATGTGTCTCCATTAAGTCTAAGCTTTCTTTTCCTCATCACTTCGTTCTCAGAACTCCCGTTCTGACTTATATTTAGCCTGGCAATAGGCTGAAGCATGTCTCAGATGTGAGTACTTACACCTTTTAACGTAGTTAGAATTGGGAATCCCACTCATCATTCCTATTTTTATTTGCTCTCTCAGAATGGTCATTGTGTATTCCCTTGTTGCATATGTGGTTACTGGCCTTAAACTCTGGATATGGTGGTTATCAAGAACTGCAGATTGATTTCGTGTGTATTTTCTTCCTGTCCTTAAAAATACTACCAACTTCTGTTGTTTCTTTTGACATAAAACCAAATAATCAATATTAGGTTTTTGTGCTTGTTCCCCACTCGATTCATCTGCAGAAGTCCTAGGTAGGAGAATTTCTGTATAGCCATATTTTTATTTAGGAATCTAAGTCCAGCAAATCAACTTTGGACTAAACATTAGGAAATCTGTGTTTTTGGCTTGGTTGGGTTGTTGAACTGCTTTGTAAACTCTGTGCTTGCTTAGACTGCTTGCCTAATCCATTTGGTTCTGTTTCATAATGCCACTACTAGATAGTTCAGTATCTGAAGCATCTAGGTTGGTTCTAGTCACCGTGGAGACTTAACAGAAGGCTTGGTGTAAATTAGGGTAGGTAGCACCTGTGAGGATGAAACAGTACCTGTGTAATGCAGGTGTTGGAGATGCATGGGGATAGGTATTGCTTGTAAAACAAGAAAGCCTGAAGTCAGGTATAGGTGAACATATTGTTTCTACTGGTAACAGTGCCATGGACCCATTTCTTTTCTCCTTTAGTAGTGACTCCGGACTTCTAAAACTTCAACTTATTATCCATCTCTTTTGCCTCTCTCCTCTCTCTTTAACCATGGTTAGACCTCTTCTTGCTTCACATCTGTTAGAGATTGAATAGAGGCAGGAAGAAAGACTGAAAACCCAGAAAAGTCAGCTGAATTTTTAGCAATACCCTCAAAAGATTTTGAGTGGGATGAAGGTTTTAACTATTCATGTTACCTATGTCCTATTCTTTGTGTAATTGAAAATTTGTCAGTTTCTTCTTATAAATACATTTTTATTAAAATATATTTTCATTTAACCAGTCTTCACCTATATCACATAGTTATCCCAGTGGCCCCAAACTTAACCTAATGGATGATTAAAGGGTGACTGATTCTAAAATTATGATCTAGAGCCAATTAATTTGTTTACAAAGAAAAAGAAAAATAATTATAAAACCGGGAAATTACTTGGAGTAACCACAAACCAGATACAAAGTAACATTAGCTTCTTCTGACAAACTATTGCTTTGCTTTTAAAATTCTCACTTGCTTTACTTAATTAGTATATATAGACCAAATGAACAATGAAAAGTTACTTATTTTGGTTTTTGATCAGTTCAGTGCCTTGGCTTTTTACAGTTTTTAACTTTAACCTAGTTTACTCTCTGAAATTCAATCCTAGCAGCTCATTTGTCCTCCAATTTGGGGACTACTTGCATGAAAGAAGTCTCTAGAAAGCATATATAGCATTGACTGTCAAATTAATGATATTCTATTCTCATTTGTAATCCTTTGCTTTATAACCTTATGACCTTGGAAAAAGTCACTCCTTTGTTTATACCTGTTTTCCATCTATACATTTATAAATATTCTATCTTTACTCCTCTAAATGAGACTATAAACATTTTTTCAAACATCTTAAAAACTTGAATATATTGTGTGAAATGGTTCTTTTACTTAATGTTTGACTTAGGAAGGCAGAATTGCTGTTGTATTATTGATTCCCAGAAAAGCTGATTACTAATTGGCCTTGTACAAGAGTGTGTCTCTGTTTAATAAGCTTATCTAATATTTTAGTGTAAACTTAATAAAGTTTACTAAAGTTTTATGTTATTTAAGACTATGGAGGTATGCATGTTTCATATTTTCCTAACAGTTATAACCAGTATTACTTTCCAACTTTTTAAATGCTCAATGCTATTTTAAGAAAGATATATTTAGACATATTACTGAACATATAAATATATTTATGATTACTCATTACTTTTAATTAATACTTTTTAATCTTAGGTTCTTATTTCTAAAATAAGCTTTCTTAGAAGATAATTAAACAATGTGTTTTTTATTTTAGGGGTGAGGAAAAGGCAATTTATACTATGCTTTTTCTGAATTTAAGTTCTGGATCACAGAGCAATTCTGTGGTAGGAGATGATATAGTGTAAAAATATGCTGGAGGGGCTGGGTGCAGTGGCTCACGCTCGTAATCCCAGCACTCTGGGAGGCTGAGGCGGGTGGATTGTCTGAGCTCAGTAGTTCGAGACCAGTCTGGGCAACGCGGTGAAACCCTGTCTCTACTAAAATACAAAAAATTAGCCGGGCATGGAGGTATGTGCCTGTAATCCCAGCTACTTGGAAGGCTGAGCCAGGAGAATTGCTGGAACCCAGGAGGCGGAGTTGGAGGTTGCAGTGAGACAAGATCACACCACTGCACTCCAGCCTGGGTGACAGGTGACAGAGCGAGACTCTGTCTCCAAAAAATATATATATATAAAATATATATATATGTATATGTATGTGTATATATATGCACTGGAGGAACTGATTTGGATTTATGATTGGTATTATTTTCCTCATATTACATATTCATAGTTGACGGCTGGGCGCAGTGGCTCACACCTATAATCCTAGCACTTGGGGAGGCCAAGGCGGGTGAATTGCTTGAGCCTAGGAGTTCAAGACCAGCCTAGGCAACATAGTAAAACCCCATACCTATAAAAAATACAGAAGTTAGGTGGACATGGTAGCATGTGCCTGTAGTCCCAGCTGCTAGAGAGGCTGAGGTGGGAGGATTGCTTCAGCCCTGGAGGTAGAGGTTGCAGTGAGCCAAGATTGTGCCACTGTGCTGCAGCCTGGGCAACAGAGTGAGACCCTGTCTCAAAAAAAAAAGGAAAATTCACAGTTGACAAAACATAGTTCTTCTAATGTTGAAGCACTTGTTTATGTTATAATTAAATAGTAAAATTTTGTTTGTTTGTTTGTTTGTTTTGAGACAGAGTCTCATTCTGTCGCCAGACTGGAGTGCCTTGGTGCCTTGCTGCGCCCTCCACCTCCTAGGTTCAAGCAATTTTCCTACCTCAGCCTCCCTAATAGCTGGGACTGCAGGCACACACCACCATGCCCAGCTAATTTTGGTATTTTTAGTAGAGACGGGGTTTCATCATGTTGGCCAGGATGGTCTCCATCTCTTGGTATCAGGATCCACCCGCCTCGGCTTCCCAAAAGTATCTATTTTTAAAAGACTTTTACTGAATGATATTTCTTCCTGGTAAGATTGGGATAAATGAACTAAAATTAATTGACATCTTAAAAACTGAAATCAGTGTTCAGGAAGTAAATATTTGGATTATTGGAAAAATACTCTTAAAACATAAAGGTAGATGTTTAGCATAACAAATGAGAGTGACTGTTTTGCTTAGAAGGAATGAAATACCACGAAAGTCTGACAGAAGTTAAGATGTACTTAGCTATCAGAGTTCTTGGTGATACCCATAGGTAAAGAACAGTGGCTTTGCTAAATTATTAACCAGGCAACTGTAGCCAAAATTATAGGATAGGTAAGTTCAGATGGGTCTGTAGAATTCTAGAGAGCAATGTTTAGCAAAATAAAAACAAGCAAAACACTGAAACACAGGTGTAACTCGGCACTGGGGATTGAGTGGCGTGCTGGGAAATGCAGCCTTCTCCAGGGAAAGGTAGGAGTGGTCCTGGTGGAGCAGAACCAGCGAGGCTAACTCCAGGGCTCCGGCAGTGAGGCAGTGCACCCTCCTACCTCCTTCACCATGAATCACAGCCAAATTATAATTGTCAGAGAGATGGTTGATCATTTTGATATAGGCAAGAGAGTACACTGGACTAGGTGCTATTCCCAGTTTGTCACTTAACTTTTCAATGACTTTGTACTCAACTTCTGTGAACCTCAGTTTTTTCATAATGTGAAAATGGACAAAATATGGACGGCATTAATTGCTCTCTTTAGCTCTCATGATTGTTGCAAGAATTGTATGAAGTAATGTATGCAAGACCTTTGTAAACTGCCTCATACTGTAAAGTAGAAGGATTCTGATCCCTAAAATATAGCCACTTACTCAGGAGTAGATGGGAAGGAGGTAAGACAAAGCTTTCAAGATATTTAACCTTATGAAACTTTGTTGTTGTGGTTAGTATTTCTTTAATGTATCATTTAAAACCATTCCCCAGCCCATTAGCATCGCGCTAATTATACACAAAGATTACCCCTACATTCAGAACTCACCAGCAGGGCTGGACTTGGAGAATATAGGGATACATGGGGCCTGCTCTCAGAAACTTTATGATTTTGTAAGGGAGCAACTATTAAAGAGTGTAGCTTCACAGAAGTCAGCCCAAGGTGCAGTGGGAGCACAGATAAAGAGGAGGGACAGAGGGCTCCTGATTTTCCAGAAGTAACGCAGTGGCCTGTTTACAAAAGCACTTGAGGCAATAATAGGAAAAGCTGTCTAATGGTGAAAAACACACACTCTAGCCATAGACTTCTTGACTTTGAGTTCTGGCTTTTCTGTTTGCTTCCTGTGTGACCTTGGAAATCTCCTTAGCCTCTCTGGGTCTTGGTTTCTTCATCTGCAAAATGAGCATAACAGTAGAACCTGTTTCATAGTTGTGAGAGCTGTACACTCAAAATAGGTTATGTTTTTATTTGACTTTTTATATTCTCCATTGTAGAATCTAAACTAGTGTTTATAATTCAAATTCTTGGATATCTAGAGGTAGAATCCGGACACAGCATTGTTTTGTACTTGTAATTAAAACACTCGGTATTTATGTTGTATGATAACCTGTTTACAGAAAATTACTTAGGTTATATATGTTGTTAAATATACTTATTTGTCATTTTACCTTTTAACGATAGAGCTAGGATTGCAGAAATAAACATTAGATAACCACCAAACCAGAATTGATTAATACTACAGTACTTGTGAAGCTAATAGGAAGTAGTTGAAGACAGTGCATCATGCTTTGCAGTTTTTATATACTTTCATACAAGTACTCTCTTAGGTCTTTGATGATTCTGTGGATAAGGCAAACAGTTGACAGGTAAAAAAAAACTCCTCTAAGCTTCCATTTTCTCTTTGGTGAAATTGACATCTGTCACTGGAGTAGGGTCACAGGACTAATGTTTAAGACAGCTGTACTCCCTTTCTGTGATTGCTAATCCTATGCTCTTCTGTAGATCATAACCCAACGCTCCTTATGGTCAAAGCTGTCATCCCCAGTCACCAGAGAAAACACCATTGTGGAGAATAATTTTCCAAATAAACCTTTTTTTTTTTTTTTTTGAGATGGAGTTTCACTCTTGTCATCCAGGCTGGAGTACAGTGGCATGATCTTGGCTCACTGCAACCTCCGCCTCTGGGGTTCAAGCGATTCTCCTTCTTCAGCCTCCCAAGTAGCTGGGATTACAGGCGCCTGCCACCACGCTTGGCTAATTTTTAGTATTTTTAGTAGAGACGGGGTTTCACCATTTTGGACAAGCTGGTCCTAAATTCCTGACCTCAGGTGATCCTCCCACCTCAGCCTCCCAGAGTGCTGGGATTACAGGCGTGAGCCACTGCACCCGGCCCCAAATAAACCTTTTTATTTAATTTGCTTTTTAAAATTGTAAATCATTGTGCAGTAATGTGTTTCTGTATCTCTTTAACGCAGATGGCATTCTTGTGGGCTGCCTAATTTCTTTCCTTGCACTTAGTGTGGACAGTGAGGATCTCTTCATTCCCAAACCCAGGGCACTCACTGACTGTGACTGCATCATGGCACCCTGTTCCCTCAGGGGGATTGAGGTTCAGGTACCCGTTGGGTTACCTTTACAGTCTGTTAGCTACACAGACAGAGTAGAGGCTCCTGTATCCTCAGCAGCTGCTACATTGAGTGAAGCTTTTCACTCCTTCCCTGCTGACTCCCCGCGTCTCTGAACAATTCTGTCACAATCACAAGTTCTTTTCTCAAGTATCTGGTGTGCTTTTCTTTTGCCACTTCTGATTTTTGTTTTATATTGGTACATTGTTATTTATTAAGCAATTCCATTACTATTGAACATTTTGATGAATTCCACTTTTGTATTCATATAGATCATCTTTCAATAGAGCAATTCAGCAGTAAAGAAAAATGGAAAAATGCCAGAAATTATCATATCAGAAGGGACAGATCACCCACATGAAAGTTTAGCCCAGTTTGCCATTCACATTACTCCCTCAATTCTGTGTCAATTCTGTTCTTTGCTGCCTGCCTCCTAAAGAGACTAATTTGGCCACTCCATTTTATGTCTGTAATTCTTTCTTTTCTTAGTCACTTCCCTTTCCATTTCGTTTTTAGCTTTTCACTGTCTGATTCTGTTTTTGTTCTCTGTGATTTCTCTTCTTCTCCTCTGACCCATATATCGTTTTAGCAAACATTTGTTGAGTACCTGTTATGTGCTGGGTCCCAGTGATGCAAAGGTGAATGAGAAAACCAGATAAGAAAATGAATGTAGTATGCTGCAGAAAATCATAGGCAGGCGCAGGTACTGTGGAAGCCAAGTAGGGGAAAGGACAGACTCTGCCTGAGAAACTTAGGGAAGTCTTCACAGAGGAGGTACCGTCTGGGCATGTTCACTCCTGGAAAATTGGTAGGGAATTCTCAGACCAACGAGCAGTGTGAACCCATTGACATGTTTGGGAGAAATGAAAAGTGGTATAAAAAGAAAATTGTGACCTAGAAATTCAGGGGAGGCAGGTATGAAGCATGACTGAAGAGATGGCCTGTGGCCAGTGATAGAGGATCTGCGATGGCCCACACTGAGGAGGTAGGACTTTATTCTGGAGGTAATGAAGAATCACTGAAGGGTTTCAGTAGAACCATATCTGATCTGTGTGAGCTGCTGTCTGGCTGCCAGGTGGAGTTAGCATTGAAGGGAGGAAAGATGGGAAGAATGGTACTCAATCAAGAAGCTTTTGCAATAACCTGGAGAGAGATGGGGAGGACTAAACTAGGGTGGAGTATAGGAAAAAGGGGAAAAAGTTAATGTTTTAAAGGAAGAATTGGTAGGCCTTGGTAAGAAGAGAGAGGGGATTGTCAAGATTGGCCCTGAGCTTCTAGTGCAGCAACTATGTCACGGGTAAAGCCAGGAACTAAAGTCAGGACTCCAGGAAAGGTGCAGAGTCAGTGGGCAAGATACTGGTTTCGTTTTGCAGGTGATTTCGGTATCTATGGGATATCCAGGTAGAGGAGGCTATTGGAAATATGATAATAGCCAGAGCTGTAGATGTGATGACTTTAGAATTTTGATGATGGTTTTAATTCTAGTTAGAAATCTATAGGAAACAAAACATGTATAGGAAACAAAGTAGGTATAGGGAATAAATACCAGAAAGAATGATGAGGACATATTGGAGAATGCTAGCATTAAAGGATGGCTGACATTTTACTGCAGTGAATAGAGCACTGAACCAGCAGACACTTAAGGATCAGGTAGAGGAAGAAGGGCTACCAAAGAGACTTAGATGAAAAAAATTAGCCATTCAAGAGAGAAGAGCACCAATGAATCAGATTTGGGTGGCACGGAGGGACGGGGAAGCTGCAGGGTTGGCTGCTGTCCGTAGAGTGTGGTGAAGTGGCCTCTGGAGTTCAAAGTTCAGAATTCACTAAGTTCAGTGAAAAATTATGTATGTGGAATCTCCTCTGCTTTCTGAAAGTCCTGTTGCTTCTCGATTTTTACATGAAAGAACTGGTATTTGTAGATACTAATCAAAACATACTATTTTTCCTGATTGGAAAACTGAACTGAGTATGATTTGTTTATCTTTCATTAGTCTTGGCTGTTTTTGTTTGCAACTCAAAAGGCTTTCTTTTTCTCACCTTGAAAGAGCAGATCTTATTCTGGTTCTAGCCAGCGTAGAACATATTAGAAAGTTCCTAACCAGAAGTTCTACTCTACGTGGATTTGGTTAGACTAAGTCCTTTAAATCCAAACATCGGTTAATATATACAGTTCACATATTGCGTACACTTAACCCACATGACTTCAACTGTAAATGTACTCTTCATGGTAACACAGACTCCCCAAAAAGATTATGAATCTGGTATTTAAAGAAGTGTGTGTGTGTATGTGTGTACGTACACATATATATGGAATAAACCCTAACATAAGCAAGCCACTTGACATAATACTCAAAGAACTAGTGATCTGTTTTAATGCTGGACGAGGTAAGCTGTTGTAGACCTGTTGTTTAGAACCATGGTCAAGTTGGCTTCTAAGTCTTTTCAAGGGCTTTTAAGGATGGAGATATATATATATATATATATTTTTTTTTTTTTTTTTTTTTTTTTTTTTTTTTTTGAGACACAGTCCCGCTGTGTCACCTAGGCTGGAGTACAGTGGTGTGATCTCAGCTTACTGCAACCTTCGCCTCCTGGGTTCAAGCAATTCTCCTGCCTCAGCCTCCCAAGTAGCTGGGACTACAGGCGCCCCGCCAGCACGTCCAGCTAATTTTTTTTGTACTTTTAGCCATTCAAGAGAGAAGAGCACCAATGAATCAGATTTAGGTGGCACGGAGGGACGGGGAAGCTGCAGGGTTGGCTGGTTAGAGACAGGTTTCACTGTGTTGGCCGGGCTGGTCTTGAACTCCTGACCTTGTGATCCTCCCGCCTCGGCGTCCCAAAGTGTTGGGATTACAAGCATGAGCCACCACGCCCAGCCAAGGATTTTTTTTTACTATAAACTCTTTCCGCCTCACAGGTAGGCTTTAGATCATAGTACTCCTAGAAGGTGCAACTCCTTAAGTAGATCTGCATAAATGAAATCAACCTTCCTCCCTTGTCATTTTTTGGAGGTAACATTAAGACCACATTTGGTAAAAAGGACAAGGTTGCCAGCTCAGAGCGAAGAGAACAGTGGACAGTTGGAAACCTTTTGGTAACCTGCGTTCTGGAAGAGAGTTTACCTCCTGCAGAGTAAACATAGGAAGGTGTAGATGAAGTAAGGGGTGCTGAGGTTCATTGAGGGGATGGGCTGTCAGGGAAGTGTTATGCACTGAGAAGAGGTGGGGTCGAGTATCCAGAGCCTTCACTTCTCACCTCAAGCTTCCAATTGTAGTGAGTGGAAAGTATATAAATAATTTCCTTTGACCTTGTTTTCCTCATCTGAGATGAGATGACTATGGAGTAGTTTGCTTTAGAGGAACAGAGGAAAAACATGGGTGAATGGAAAGATCCAAGGAAGGGGAAGTTTTTCTGATCTAGTTGAGGTTGCACTTTGCGTAACTATTGTGAGTGTCATGTTGGTAAGTTCATGTAGGAAAATGGCATTATTTAGACGTTTGTGCAGGATTTCTGAGGCTGAACTAAGAAAGGAGCTGGGGCACTGGTATCCATGTAGTTCACCCAGGGTGGTTCTTGGACTAAAGTGGTGCCCGTTGTGTGACTTGGCTCCCTTTCAACTCTATATATTGCTCTGTTTTATATATTCTTGACAGCTACTGATTTTCCCTCCATCTCTGTCAGTCCAGGTACTGTATCACCTGTAAGAACCAAGACTGAGCTCTTGAAAAATACTTTCTTGACTATTCTAGCCCTTAGTAATTATTCCCTTAGATATTCCTGTGGCATTTTCGGTTTATACCACACAGAAGAATACTTTTCTCAAAAATACTTGCTGATCGTTGTGTGTAGTTGTTCAGTTCTAGACATAGAATTATAGATAACATTTATTTTGGTCTCTTTGTTTTATATGTGTATTACCTATGGCCCCAGCTAGCATGGAAGTTCCTTGATAAATACTGTTCTTTTTGTTTTCTGTCATTTTCTTTTCTGTAGAGCTTTCATTGTTGAGGTTCCTCAGTGCTGAACTAACAAGAGGGTACTTCCTTGAACATAATGAGGCCAAGTATACAGAAAGAAGAGAAAGAGTATACACTTGTTTGCGAATACCAAGAGAATTGGAAAAGGTACTATTTTTTCTTCATTACCAGACATCATGTTGAAAGTTATGTCAAAGTATTAATTATGAAAAAAAAAAAGGTGAACAGCTATGAGTTGGGTTTTTTAAATAATTGAAATAATGTTATTGGGGGAGTAGAAATTTCCTTATAGGAATAAGCTTTAAAGTTACATTTTTCAGTGTAAGACCCAATGATATTAATAGATCTATCAAAATCTGAACTTTTCTGCCTATCATTATCATTGTGTGCTACATCAAAATAACTTTTGTAAGGAATTAATCTCTACTTCTGTACCCTTTTAGTTCCCTTCAGTTCTGTTTTACTAGAAACAGGTTTTTTTTTCCCCCATTCAGCTTAATAAATTATTTAATTTCAGCCTTTTTAAAGGTTTCAGTTTCTCAGAAAGCCCACATGTTTGTAAACATACAGGACAGTCTCTTCAAAGAAAAAGGTGGTTTGTTTTATCTTTGTCACAGGAAGCATCACATTACAGGGTGAGTGTAGTAACAGCAGCACTACATCTTCATGTGTCTTATTCCTTGTCTGTGCCTTATCCTATCAAGACCAGTAAAATAGGATGGGAAAGCAGCCCCTTCTCCCCTAGGTGATGCTAGAGTTGGTGAGTCTAAGCAATTCCAAAATTGCTTGCTAAAAGAAAAGAAGAAATAATTAAGCTTCAGCTATATTGAAACATGTTGTCATACTTCTATGGTAACATAAATCTTGTAATAGTCCAGTCATCTTTTTGGAATCATACTTTCTGTTGGAGTGGCTATCAGAAGAGTTTGGTTGACTGGATTTATTGGTACATTGTAATAACAAGAGGTACTACAGGCAATGAGGAGTAAGGACCCAGCTGGTTTGGCTGATGTTCTCTTTCTGACAGTCTATCAGTTTAATAGAAGAAAAAGAGCCAAATGTAGAGTGACAATTTCAGAAATGTTGCTTTATGTAGGTTCTTGGTGAAGCATCACTTGCTGAAGTTTTAGGGAGTTCTGTATTAGGGTGGGATTTAGAGAGCTGGTGAGCAAGCAAAGATTAGAGAACAAATATGGCAATGGTTTGATTGCCTTTAGCGAGGATCATTAAATATGCTTAACTATTACTGTATTCCTACATTTCTAGAGGACTAGGGTTCCGTGGAGGAGCCTGAGGGACTGACAGATACGGAGGGAGGAGGAGTGGGCAGGGCTGTCTGCAGTACTCCTCTCCGGTGCAGCAACAGCTCTGTCTTATATATTGGGATTTAACGAAGATTTTGTTTGGAGAAAGGAGTGGGGTAGGCGTATGTTTCTTTTACTTGGAAAAAAATATAAGATTAAACCAGTTCTTGTGTCTTAAAAGACCGTTAGCTTACTTTTCGGATTTTTTCCAGCAATAAGCCATGAGATGGAAGTGTGAGGACACAGTGCAGGGGAAGTGGGAGGGACAGCCTGCCAAGGCCTGTATTTGGACAGGACGGTGCCAGCCACTGTCAGCTTTTGCCCACCTGGCCTCAGCCCTCTACGGGGGAATTTGTTTCCTGTCTGTCTGAGTAATTATGAACTCCCATTTTTCTCTGGGGAGGACACAGAGGGATTTAAATCTGCAACTCCCACCAAACTTTATGAGCACAACCAGGGGACTGCTTCAAAGTGGGTTGGTGTCTGTCTGACCCCTTTTATTACCCCTCTTGTGGCAAAACTAATGAACAATGGCAGCATCCACTCCTGATTCTGTTACCTCAGCAGAGACAGGCTTGTTTCACGCTTCCTTCTTTCTTTCTCTTAAGGCAACTCAAATAACAAGCAATGTTTTGGGGTAGATTTCTCACAGAAACTTATAAGCATTTCATGTTTGTAATTAGGAGTATAAATTGTCTTCTGGAGAAAATAGCCTTATACTTATGTCTTGATGAGACTAAAGTATAAACCAGTGATTTTAAATTGTGGTCCACTGTAGAACTACTAATGAATCAAGTAATCAGTATAAGTTGCCATCAGAATTTTTTTTTTTAAGAAAATAGAAGAATTATCAGAGAACATTGCCTATGCTAAGAGTATTGTTTCATGAAACTTTGGTTCCATTTGTATGAATGTAAATGTATAATGTCAGAAAAGTTGCATTAACACTGCTAATACACAATTGTAATAATTTTCTTTTTTTTTTTTTTTTGAGACGGAGTCTCGCTAATTTTCTAATGATTTTTGTTTTCCCTGAAAGAGGCTTTAGGCCTGTTTGGGAAAATTTGATGTAATCTCTTAGAACAATACTTAAGAAGCTTTGTAGCCTAAATGTACAAAAAAAGTCATGGTTTTCTGTTTGGAGCATTTTTTCTTAACTTCTAAAACCAAGCGGGATGTAAAGGAAAGCAAATTTAGGTTTCAGTTTAATTCCAGGCTTAAATATCTCTCATAACCACATGAAGTCACTCTGATATCTTAAAGGCCTTTATTTTTTATAAATAGGATTTCACGTAAAGTTTTTAGTATGAGTTGAGAGCCTATCTAGATATGCAAGATAACCTAAATTATTTTTTATTGGCTGTTTTTGTTTACATTGTCTATTCTAATATATAATACCTTACTCATATTTTTTCTTGTTTTCGATAAATGCTATGATATTTTCACCTAACCTTTTCAGGAAGAGAAACTTGAAAATTAAAGAGCACTTTGCTTCTACAAAGGTTGTAAACACCATAAAACATGTAATTAATTTTTTGTATTTTAAGATAAAGAGAAAAGTCAACTTAATATCTCTTATCAAACCTGTTTACTAATGTGAAAAAAAAAATCCTCCAATTTTTGTATTACATTGTCATTGGATAAATACTTTATACTTGACATTTAGTAAAAATGAATTGCTTATATATTTTAAATGGTATCTCCAATTGTTAGCACATGATTTTCACTCTTAAACTTCTTATTTTAATGTAGGAGTACATAATTTTGGAGTGTTTTATTGGCTTTGGGAGACATTTCTTCTCTTCCACCATAAATGCCCTCCCCTGACCCCACAACCCCTTGGGTTCTATATACCAGATCTTCTGCTATTTATGTAGTCTGCTTTGGGAACTTTATTATTCTTTTTTATACAACCAAGCAGATTAAACTATACTTTCTGTGCATTCTAAATTGAGAGGCAAGATAGCGAAGTGTTTAAGGGGATCATCTCTAAAGCTGGACTGCCTAACTCTGAATCTTGGCTTCACAATTGATTAGCTGTGAGTCCTTGAGCAATTCACTTAATCATTCTGTGCCTAAGTTGCCTCATCTATATGTTAATTGTATGGTAAGCATGTAAAATTTTTCACAACCTTCACATCAGCCATTCAGGGGGAATGCACTACTCTGCTAGAGTGAGAGGAATTTAAAGGTTTCTTGTTCCCGATTACATTCCGGTGGATGTAATATTTTTCTTTGCAGTAGGGATAGCTTTCATCTTTGGGATGTGCTCAGCAGGAGGTGATTGGGAGAGGTGTGGTTTTTAGGATTTCCCTGGGTCCCAGTTTTATCTCACATTATACTATTAATCTCCCTGCTTTGCTTGCCACTAAACTTGACTTTACTAACCCTGCAAGGGGCATGATTTTCTGACTCTTGGCCCTCTTGTGTTGCTGACCATAGGCAGAAAAAATATCTAGGGAAAGCTGTCTTCTTTCCTCTTTCCTTTTACCCAGGCTGTCTGGGAGTAAAGCTGATCTCTTTCATGAAGGACATAACCAATGGCCATGAGAGATGAGAACACACCCTACCATTTTCTTCCAAGCCCTGTAGAGTCTGGCCTCGGTGGGCACATGCATGAAACCTACAATTATAACAGAAACAGGGTGCTTTAACCAGAGGCTTGGTGAAATCGGGGGCAGGGAGCATCAGTTTCCTAAAGAGGAAATTCATGGTGAGTGATTTCTCACTGTCCCACACCCCACCTTGACTTAGACACTTACATCCCACCACTTGTATCTGTTTCTGTATGAATAATAAATAATGTTTGTTATGTAAGAATTAGGTGCTAGGTACTGTCCTAGGCACTTTACATGTGTTTGCGTTCAGTCCCTTCAACAGCCTTACAAGATACATATATACTATTAAAGCTCCAATTCCTTTGCCCACCCCACTGTGGCAGTTCTACATTGACTTCCAGACAGATCTCTCCTTCCACCATTGTTTGGTGGAGGTATGTGCTAATAGCATATGCTCTCCATTTAGGTCCCCTAGTCCCCTGGGAACAGTTTCCCAAGTGTCAGGTCAAAATTGTCTCTTGTCTAAGGACTAATTTTGTCATCTTTGTGAATCTAAAGCTACAGTAAATAGTAAAGAAATACCCATTATAGGATCTTCTAAAATTCCCAGATATGTTTAAATTCTAATTTAGAAAGGTAAAGATGACTTACACACTTAATTATTAATTTACTGCATCCATGTTTTGAGTACTTCCTATGCTCCAAGAAGGCACTCTTGTGATACAGAATACAGAGATAAACAAGACTCACACCTAGCTTAGGAGATATCAGATCCATAAGTTATTATAATACAGGATACAAAGTGACAAGTGCTTTTAAATAGTGTAAATAAAATGTGAAGAATTTAGAGAAGGGTAAGTGTGCTTAAACAACAGGCCTGGGACGAGGATCCAGGAAGGAAAAAGAGGGAGATTTTGTTGTATAGGCTTTGTAGGATGGGATGGGTATGCTAGGAAGATCCAGAGGTGGAAAATTGTTAGGTGTGGACAGGAAACCACTGACACATGCTGGAAAGAAAGATAGACTGGCCAACCTAGGCAATGTGGCAAAACGCTGTCTCTACAAAAAATAGCCAGGAGTGCTAGCATGCACCTGTAGTCCTACCTACTTGAGAGACTGAGGCAGAAGGATCGCTTGAGCCCCAGAGGCAGAGGTTGCTCTGAGCTAAGATCGTGCAACTGTACTCCAGCCTGGGCAACAGAGCGAGACCCTGTCTCGAAAAAAGAGATAGACTAGATCCAGTTATGTTGAATGGTCAGGCTGGAGAGTCGAGTCTGTGGAAGGA